CTCCTCCTCCTCCTCCTCCTCCTCCTCCTCCTCCCAGGGATTGAACTCAGGGGCACTGGACCACTGAGCCATATCCCCAGCCCTATTTTGTGTTTTATTTAGAGACAGGGTCTCACTGATTTGCTTAGTGCCTCATTTTTGCTGAGGCTGTCTTTGAACTTGCAGCCCTCCTGCCTCAGCCTCCGGAGCCACTGGAATTATAGGTGTGTGCCACCTTTAACTGGTCACAATACTTCTAAATAATTGTAACACTGTATATTCCCATTTGCTCAGCTTAGCCCTTTTCCTCTGTGTCTCAATCAGAACTCTCATTAAAATATACATTATTTGAAAACTTGAATTCGATGTCATGCTCCTACTCATGTGACAGGCCACATACCAACGATTTCAGTCCATTGTGATGGAATTGATGAGATTCATAGGGGGAGATGGGAACAGTGAAATAAAAACAGTGCCCTGGAAAGTAGAGCAGATAACTTTAACAGAAAGGAATATAAACTCATAAAGGTTCATTTGCCTCCCAATATAGCAAGCAAAGAAGGATAACGGTAATACTTTTCACATGATCGTATTGTTATTTCAGTATATATTTGTTTGGTGTCTGTCCTGGACCAGGCTCTCTTGGGTACTGGAGACATGTCACAGATAAAACGTCTTTGGCTGAATGGTGCTGACGTTCCATTGGGAGATGAGTGAGATGTTAAATAATAAATACAGCATATAAATAACTTACATAGAATGTTAAAAGGTGACCAGTGCGGAAGTAAAAACAAGTAGAGCAGGACAAGAGGGAACAGGAGTTGGGGTGTTCCAGTTTTAAATGGAGTGGGTAGGGSAGTCATTAGGGAGGGGGTGTCATCTCAAGCAAAGATTTGATGGAGAGGAGAAGGTTATCTTGGTGGAAATCTGTGACAGGAGCATTTCTGGAAGAGGACAGCTAGTACCTAACRGGTCTGGAGAGACTGAGGGAAATAGGAGGCTGGTGTGTTGGCSCGGAATGAACAAGTGGGAAAGAGCTGGGGGCTGGATGGTGTTGGGCAGTGAGGCGAGAAGCCCCCACCAAGGTTTTGAGCAGAGGACTTTCCTCATCTGAGCTAACGTTTTATCGATATCATGGCTTGCTGGCAGTAATTCAGGTGGCGGTAATGGTGACTTGGTTCTTGGTGATGGTAATGGAGATARTGAGAAGTGGTTATATCCTGAATATATTTGGAAAGTGGACCTGTGAAGRTTTCCAAAGGCATTAGCTGTGAATTGTGAGAGAAAGAGAGGAGACACCCAATGATGTAGGAGGGAAAATTGAGAGGATGGGTCCTAGAATCAGGCGGAGAGAGAGAAAGGTCCTCTGCATTGGGTGCTGCTGATGGGTCTGGTAAGATGAAGACGGAATCAGCCACTGGTTTTAGTGAGAAGAAGTCATTAATAACCTTGATTCACGGAGACCTGGGTGAGGGAGCAGGTTCAGTGGAATGAAGAGGACCCGATTGATGTGAGATCAATTAAGAAAACGAGGAGAGGATTTGGACAGTGAAAATAAATTGTTTTTGAGGCTTTTTGCCACAAAGGGGATATGATTATGGGGAACTGAGGTCAAGGTTGGTTTTTGGTTTTAAATGGGAGAATTACAAAGTGCATTTATAAGATTCTTAAGGTACTCCATTTCGAAAGAAGAGAAGTTCAGTGGATTAGACAAARGGGAATGAAGGGAGGTGGGGGATGGGAATAGGAAAGACAGTAGAATGAATTGGGCATCAYTTTCCTATGCTCACATATGAGTGAAATGAGTCTATTGTGATAGGAATGGTCCAAAATGATACAGAAAAGAAAGGAACAAAATTTCCTTGCAGGTGCTAAGGGATAGGATCTAGCATGTGAAGGAAGAGACTGGCTTTAGCCATGAGCAAGGCTAGTTCATCTGTGCTTGTGGGTTGGTGGTAGAACATTTTGGTATGTTTTTAGTTGAGGGGTGGGATGATCACTAAATGACTTGGAAAAGCAGGGTCTTGGCTGACAGTAAGGATGGGGGCAAATACTGGATGTTTGAGGAAGAAGGAGAAGTTGTGAAATTGCCATTTGGGGATGGGAAGGGCCAGGGTAAGGTGACCACTGGATAGCATCGATGTGGTCAGCACTCTTGGGGGCTTCTCCAGCCACATTCAGCAGCATGCCTGTAGGATGCAGCGTCAAGCAAATACCAGATGGGTGAGGTGCCGTGGAGTGTCGGTAAAAATTGAGCATGGAATTTAAAATGGAAAAGGATGGAAGGAAGGATCTCAGGGGATGAGGGACAGTGAAAAGCAAGAAGAACCAGTGACTTGGAATTGCCAGAGGGCTTAAAGGATTGTTGGAATTGGGCCACTAGTAGGAGCAATCCAACAGACAGACAGGGAGTGATGTTAAAAGCAGGGTGCCAAATTGAGATTATGGAGGAGTTGTAGTTATTAGTAATGAAAAATATTGTGTGTGACCAGGACAGTGAGGGAGGCAGGGCAGAAGACACATTTATTGAAGAGAAATTCAAGAAATAGTGAGGCTAGGAGGTTGGAACTTCCATCACTGTGAGTATTGAAATTGCCAACCATGAGACAGGGACTGTACTGGAGAGTGACAGTAGGGAAGAAGCTAAATTCATGCTGAAAGCCGGGCATGGTGATGCACGTCTGTAATCCCAGTAATCCCAGCGGCTCTGGAAGCTGAGGCAGAAGTTCAAAGCCAGCCTCAGCAAGAGTGAGGCACTAAGCAACTCAGTGAGACCTTGTCTCTAAATAAAATACAAAATAGGTCTGGGGGTGTGGCTCCGTGGTTGAGTGCCCCTGAGTTCAATCCCCAGTACCCGCCCCTCCCCACTAAAAAAATCATGCAGAAATAATGGTAAATGATAGGCATGGTAGATGGCTTTTAACAGGCAGATAGTCTGATGATATCAGAGAAAGCGGGAGGGCTGCTGGGGAAGTTCCTGGAGGAGAGCTGGGTTTCAACTGCAACAGGAGGCAAAGCCTCAATGTGAGAGAGGATATGGGTGGGACCCAAGTGTGTGTGTGTGTGTGACTGTGTTTGTGTTGACTGACATAAGCAGGGATAAAGGGTGATGTGAGATGAACTCAAGGTTGATGATAATGATGAGGCTGTGAACCCTGGGTGTAGGGATKGCTGGCCATGTGGATTCCTGCTTCTGCCTGTCTGTCAGGATGGAGGACTGGGGAAAGAAGCCCATCTCTTGTGTGCACCAAGGGACAATGGTATTTAATACTTTTTACTGAGAAAAGAATTAATGAGAGAAATAGCTGGTACTTCCTTTGTTTACTGTGTGCCAGAGCCTATGGCAAGTGCTTAGGGGGATCATTCAGTTCTCCTGATGGTCTTCTTTAGAGGTGAGGGCTCATCCCTCCCTGAAATGAGGTCTCAAGGTCTCACAGACATAGGATTCAAACCCAGGTCTCTGACGAATGACAGCTCATTTACAGTTAATTCAGCCTCAGTGTATTCTCTAGGACAGATTTTCATCACAGATGTCAAGGCTGAACCTCAATGACCCTATGAAYCTTTTAAAACAACTTCAGGGTCTGGGAGTGTAGCTTAGTGGTAGAGTGCTTGCGTAACATGGGCAAGGCCCTAGATTTGAGCCCTAATACCTCAAAAAAAAAAAAAATAAAAGCATAAAAATCTTCACATGTTCCAGGGTTACTTCAAGACTTTGTTTGGGGTTGGGGACTCCTCGCTTTTTCTTATATAGTACTATCAAGCCTGTCTATGAAGTTAACTGTTTTCTCAGTAAAAAGTATTAAATACCATTGTTCCTTTGCAATTAACCAGTGTGTTTTTTTTTTTAATCTCATGTCAACATGCTATTTGTAAAACACTGTTTGGATGAATGTTCAAAATTTAGTCTAAGAACTAGAGCGTTGGTAAACTTGTGCTGTGATAGACTTAGAAGTTTGCTATATTCCCCGGGATCCTGAGGCTTCTCATTTTGCAACTATTGTTTTTTTTTTTTCCCCCCTTTGGTAGCCAAACAGGAAGACACTCAGAAGAAAACCTTCACCTGCTGGATAAATTCACAGTTGGCCAAGGTGAGGAAAAAAGAGCACATTAAGTTATGAAGACATTTGCTACTCTTCTCATTCCCTCAGTTTTGACCCCAAGGAGGCCATTAAAAAGATGGCACCTGTGACCTGTGAAAGGTTGCAGAATGTCTTTTCATGAGAGAAGGTGCTGACCGTCACCTCTGCTGTGGTGGATTTGGTGTTCTTTCTCAATACACATAAGGGGTACTTTGGTTATGTGTAGGGGACACTGTAGTAAAAAGTAGCAATATCTCTTTCATCAGATGAAATAAAAACAATGATTCGTTTATACTGAGTGTTATATGGTAGGCACTATCCGGAATCTCTACATGTAACGATGATGAGGACTTATGACATTTAAATGACTTCACAGCATTTCTGTGAGGTAGGCAGTATTATCCCCGATAAAGGTCAAGGAAACTAAAGCACAGAGAAGTTATGCGACTTGCCTATAGTGACACAGCCTGTAAGTGATAGTGCTGGGATACAAGCCCAGGCAGTCTGGATTCAGAGGCCTTGATCATAATCTGTGTGCCCTCCTACCTCTCTGTGATGCTGAGCACCTCGAATAACCTAAATGCAGGATGAATGAGTCCCTTACTAACACCGTTCCCTTTCCCAATACAATGGTTGTAGTTTGAACAAAGGGTAAATACATAAGCAGGTTACTACAGAAATGTAGCCTGCTTTCTAAATGGGCCACTACTGGCTGATTTTGAATGTCTTTCATGTCACTTTTACAGACAGGTTTTAAGTTCTCAGGGAAAGCTCCACACAGAAAAGTATTGTATTACTGGAAATTTGCCATGAAATAAATTAAGTCCACTACCTTTCTTACTATGGCTTGATGTGGAACTTTGCAGGGGCTTTGTCATTTTATTAATTAAGAAGAAAATTGCTGCTGAATCTTAGCTATTTTGAAGATACAAAGTGCATTTATAAGATTCTTAAGGTACTCCATTTCTGAAAGAAGAGAAGTTCAGTGGATTAGACAAAGGGGAATGAAGGGAAGGGGAGGATGAGAATAGGAAAGACAGTAGAATGAATTGGACATCACTTTCCTATGCTCACATATGAGTGAAACCCCATATCGTGTGCAACCAGAAGAAAGAGAGGTGATACTCCATGTATGTATAATATGTCACAATACACTCTACTRTCATGTATCTAAAAAATAAAATAAAAATCAAATTCAAAAAAGAAGAAAATTGCTGCTGAATCTTAGCTTTTTTGAAGATACAGAGTGCATTTATGAGATTCTGAAGGTCCTGCATTTTTGATTTGATGATTTTTCAAATTATCTGAGTTTGATTATTTTTCTTGTGTCCTTTTTCAGCACACCTCTCCCTCAGTTATATCAGACTTATTCGCAGACATTAGAAAGGGCCATGTCCTCCTGGATCTGCTAGAAGTACTCTCAGGACAGCAGTTGGTAAGATTTTATGTGACACAAAGAAACTTTTTGTGATTTAAAAAATGCATTTCATATTTCTGAGTAATATATCTGTTTGAACTTCATAGCCTCGTGATAGAGGATCTAATACACACCAGTGTAGACTCAATATAGAACATGCTCTCAAGTTCCTAGAAAACCAATCAGTGAGTATAAATTTCACCTGAAAATTTGCAGGAGTGATTATATTGCTATGGGATATTTTTTTTTTCTTTTAATCTGCACTTCTTCATTTCCAGGTCAAGCTAATAAATGTCCACGTTACTGATATTATAGAAGGAAACCCATCCATTATTCTTGGACTAATTTGGACAATTATACTGCACTTCCATGTAAGTAGTGTGATGATAGGAAAGTTACTTCTCTAATTCCCACAGTTTGAACTGAGTGGAATGCCGTAACTGTCACTCAATGCCTGATTCAATCTTGAGCTTTTCCACAAAGAGGATGCTCTGGAAATCTTAAATAGGCAGAAAATATTCAGCAAGTCTTTTGCCAGTTTTTTTGTTGTTGTTGCATTTCTTTTATTATTTATTTATTTATTTATTTATTTTGGTACGGGGATTGAACTCAGGGGGCGCTTAACCACTGAACTACATCCCCAGCCCTATAGTGCCTTGCATTTGCTGAGACTGGCTTTGAAGTCATGATTCTCATGTCTCAGCCTCCCCAGCTGCTGGGATAATAGGCATGCGCCACTGAGACTGGCTTCCACAGAGATTTTTGAGYTCTTATGATAATCTGGCTATTGTACTGGGGCACATCAAGATATACTGACAGTTATAGTCCTGACTTTATGAAACTTATGACTGATAAATATTGTTCTTTTAGGCCTGGGATGTTGACTTAGTGTCAATTTTTCTGTACTACCTAAAAGATTGCATTTTTATGTATATTCATAATTACTTTAAAAATAATTTTAAAAAATATGTGGGGAAGCCAATGCTTATTTTAGAAAAACTAGAATATAGCATAACTAATTTATATAAAATGTAACACATACAAACCCAGACTACATACTACTTTTGGATACATGCATTTGTATTTATGATAAACTAATATGCATAAAGATGATGAAGACTAAATTTAGGATTGTGGTTTCTTTCCTCTTGGAAAAGAGGGAAAAGGAATTAGAAAAAGCAACAAAACCAAATATGGTAAAATATTAAAGTTTTATAATTCATGGGTATATTTATGAATTATCTTTTGAAAGCATGTGAAATATAATTCAAAATTTCAATGGATAATAAGAAAATCATTTATAATCCACCATAGATAACTATGATAAACAATTTGATGTACAATCTTCATGATGAGCAAGAATTAATATATATATATATTCATACATGTACAGTCTGTCCTCTGTATCCATGTATCCCACATCAATAGATTCAACTAATTGAGGCTATAAGATATTCAGAGACAAAATTCACAGATTTTTTTCTTTTTCATTATTTTTTAAATAATGTGGTAGAAAATCATTTATATAACATTTGCATTGTGTTAAGTATTATAAGTAATTGAGGTGATATAAAGTATACAGAGGATGTACATAGTTAGATGCATATACTTTGCCACTTTATATAAGGAATTTGAACATTTGGTACCTGGAGGGATCCTGGAGCCAATCCCCCATAGATAACTAGGGACAACTGTGTATCTTAAACAAATGGGATCCTGTTATCCATACTGTTTGAAAACCCATTCTAATCAATACCTTTTTGAATTTATATATATWTTAATGGATATATATAGATATAGATATATAATATTTCATTAATGAACTATCCGAATGCTCACAATTATTTGTGTTATAAGTTATTTAAAAAAAGAATACCCTTAAGATAAAACCTTTGTATACAACCTTAACTGTTTCTGTGAGCCAAATTCCACAAAATGGAATTGTGCCATAGGATTTACAAATTGAACCTTTGTTTTAATATTTTACATTAACTTTTGTTGGTGACTAATACACATAGAGAAGCACAAAGAAGTCATGTATAGAGCTTGATGAATTTTCATAAATTATAAACACACCCATGTGGGTTGCGGGTATAGCTCAGTGGCAGAGCACTTGCTTAGTATATACAAGGCTCTGGATTCAATCCCCAGCACTGCAAAAAAATAGAGTTAAATCAAAGTTTTTAAAAAGCACATCCACATAACTGTGACCAAAAATGAAATTGTAGAACTTTTCCAGCACCCCAGGTCTTCTCTCCGAGTCTCTGTCTTTCTTTCCTAAATATAACCAACCGTTTGATCCTTATTATTGTTTTGTTTAGCAGATTTTTGGGGGGGATTTGAATTCAGGGGTCTTTAACCACTGAGCCATATCCCCAACCCTTTTATGTTTTATTTTGAGACAGGGTCTCACTAAGTTGCTTAGGTCTCACTAACTTGCTGAAGCTGACTTTGAACTTGCTATTCTAGTGCCTCAGTTTCCTGAGTCACTAGGATAATAGGCATGTGCCACTGTGTCTGGCAGTTTAGCATCTTTAATTCCACAGAAAGCGAATTCTAAGTGTGTTCTCTTAAACACACTATACATTCTGTTGTGTCTGTTATTTCACTTCACATCYTTTGCAGGGTTCATCTTGTTGTAACACGTGTCAATACATCTTTCATTTCCATTGCTGTGTGTGAACATACAGTTGTATGAATGTATCACAACTTCTTTATTATTCACTGTTGATGTGCATTTTCTTTTTGTTGCTAGTTTTCAGCTCTTATAACAAGTCCACTCCCACTATAATGGCATGAATCCATTCATGAGGGCAAAACCCTCAAACCTAATCCCTTCTTAAAGGTCTTGCCTCCTAATTCTTCCAGGTTTCTAACACTTGAGCTTTGGGGACACTTGCAAACCATGGCAACTGTTTACTGCTAAATGGTTTATTAATGGGATCATTTGATTTTCATTCCCACTGGAACTGAGATTTCTGATTCAATCCTTGCTCACACTTGGCATTTAAAATTTTTTATTTTAGTTCTGATGTTGTGTGTAATGATTTGTAGAAGCTTTAAAATATATTCTAGATAAAAGTTCTGTTGGACACACATAAATTGCAAATAAGTTCTCTGACTCTGTGGCTTGCCCTTTTAATTTTTTAATGAACAGACATTTATCATTTTAACATAGTTTGAATTTATCAACTTCTTTTATGGCCATTAGTTTTCACATCCTTTAAAACAGTGTTTTTCCTGTTGCCAGTATGTTKAAGATATTCTCTTACATAATTTTCTAGAACAGTTATGTCCAGTAGTATTTTTCCTCTCTCCCTCTTTGGTTGTTGTGCTGGGGATTGAACTCAGAGCCTGCTAGGGGAGCACTGTACCACTGAGCCACATCCTCAGCCTTCAATAGAACTTTTCGTAATGATGGAAATGTTCCATAGCCGCACTGTACAAAACAGTAACCATAATCTCCATGGCTACTGAACTCTTGAAATGTGGCAGATATGACTGAGGAACTGAATTTTAAATTTTAATTCATTAATTTAGATCTCACATGTGTCTAATGATGATCCTATTGGATATTATAGTTCAAAAAACTTAATTGTCTCATATTTAGATATACAATCTTCCAACAATGGGGTTGATTTTTTTTAGTATATATATGTAAAATTTTTAAGTTTTAGRTGGACACAATATCTTTATTTGACATTTATGTGGTGCTGAGGATCAAACCCAGCGCCTTGCGCATGCTTGGCGAGCACTCCACCACTAAGCCACAACCCCAGCCCCTTTTTTAGTATATTTTATTGAAGCAATCAAAAATTATTTTTCCCATATGGCTACCCAGTTGATTCAACACTATTTATTGAAAGGGTTGTCATTTTCCTTCCTCCTTTAATTATTGTTCTGTTTAGAATATACTCTGATTTCTCATTTGGCCCATACATTTATAAGAAYCTATTGCTTAATTGCCAAGTATTTGGTGATTTTTGTTTGTTTCATCTTCATCATGAAATAAAATTTTAGTGTGGTCAGTGAATATTATCTGAATGATTTCAGTTTTACAAAATTGTCAAGACTTAGCTGGGTATGGGGTGCATCCTGTAATCCCTGTAACTCAGGAGGCTGAGGCAGAAGGATGGCAAGTTCAAGGCCAGCCTCAGCAATTTAGGGAGGACCTAGGGAACTTAGAAAGATTCTTTCTCAAAATAAAAAGGGCTGGAGATTTAGTTCAGAGGTAAAGCTCCCCTACCCCTCTGCCCACTCCCCACCAAAAAAAGCTTACTTTAATGGCTTAGCATGGTCAATTTTAGTTTATATTTTAAAAGAATAGTGGTTTTTGGGCTGGGGATATGGCTCAAGTGGTAGCGTGCTCACCTAGCATACTTGAGGCACTGGATTCAATTCTCAGCACCACATAAAAATAAAAATAAAGATGTTGTGTCCCTAAAAAAAAAAAAAAAAGAATATTGGTTTTGCCATTTTAATTACAGTGCCTATCATCAATGCCAATCAGATGAAGTTTGTTAATTTTGTTGGTCACATCTATAATTATAATTAGTTTATTTATTTTTATTTTWAAAAAATATTTATTTTTTAGTGTTTTAGGTGGTCACAATATCTTTATTTTGTTTTTATGTGGTCCTGAGAATCGTACCCAGTGCCTCATGTATGCTAGGCGAGCGCGCTACCACTTGAGCCACATCCCCAGCCTCTAATTAGTTCATTTTTGAGATGGGGTCTTGCTGTGTTGCCCAGACTGGGTTCAAACTCCTGGGATCAATGAATCCTCCTGCCTCAGGCTTCAGAGTATAGGGACTATAGGCATATGCCATGTACCTGGCTCATGTATTACTATTGATTATATGGTTATTGTGTCAATTTTTGATAAAAATATATTAAGTACTTCTATGTTTGTGGATTTATCTTTTTAAGTTTTGGATAAACATTAGCATGTTGCTCCTCCCCCAAAATTTGAACCAATTGCCGTGTTTACTAACGATATGAATATCCAGTTTTTCATAGCTGGGTGTGGTGGCACATGCCTATAATCCCAGCTACTCTGGAGGCTGAGGCAGGAGAATCACAAGTTCCAAGCTAGCCTGGGCAACTTAGAAAGACCTTGTCTCAAAATTTTCAAAAAGACTATAGATATAGCTCAGTGGTAGATAGTGGTTGCATAAAATGCTCAAAATTCTGGGTTTGATTCTAGTACTTAAAAAAAAAGTAGTTTCTCTTATTTTTACCATCACTGGATGTGATTTTTTTTAACCTGTGTTATAAAAAAAAMCCCTATCCTTTCATTGAATACATTTAGCGTTCTTAAATTACTTATTTTTATATTTTTGGTACCAGGGATTGAACTCAAGGTGCTTAATGAGTAAAACATTAAGAGTAAAGCATTAAGAGTAAAACTGAGTAAAACATCTCCAGCYCTTTTATGTATTTTATTTAGAGACAGGGTGTCACTGAGTTGCTTAGGCCCTCGCTAACTTGCTGAAGCTGGCTTTGAACTTGCAATCCTCCTGCTTTAGCCTCTCAAGCCACTGGGATTATAGGTGTGCGCCACCATGCCAGGCTAGCTTTCTTAAATTACTACTGGAATGTACTTAATGGCAATTTTAKTTTTTTTCTTGGAACTTGTTTTCCATATGGTTAATTGTTTTTCTTTCCTGCATGTACATTCTTTTTTTTWWAAAAAAATATATATATATTTAGTTGTAAGTGGACCTTTATTTTAATATATTTTAAATATATACATATATTTAAAATAAATTTATAAAATATATATTTAAAATATATTAAAATAAATGTATCTATTTATTTTAATATATTTTAAATATATATATAGTTGTCAATGGACCTTTATTTTACTTATTTATATGAATTGCTGAGAATCACATCCAGGGCTTCACACATGCTAGGCCAGTCCTGAACCACTGAGCTACAACCCCACCCACTGTTTTAAAGTATTTTTAGTGGTAGATGGACACAGTACCTTTATTTTATTTATTTATATATGATGCTGAGKATCAAACCCTCACACATGCTAGGCAAGCACTCCACAACTGAGCCACAACCCTAGCCCTGTACATTTGTTCTTGATGTTTAATGATTCAGGTGCATTTTGATTGATTCAGTCTCTAAAGATATTGCAACCCAGGAGCTAAGTTTAGTTTAGTTTGGTTTAGTTTGGCAAATGTTGGGCTTCAGGGAAGTGCTCTGTAACCAGGTCAGGGAATGAATGGATGCTTGCCTTCTATGTAGGATACCATACCTGGGTAAGGCCAGGAATGACCCAAGTCTAGATGAAAGTATGGAAAGCCAAAGTATGACCTAGATGATAAATGCTGTTACTGAAGGATTTGTCCAGAGCTCCTTTACCAAGAGTTAGCTGTCACTATTACAGAATACTTTTTGGTCTTCTTTTGGCTGAGGATTTTGGTTCAGTCCTGGTAACATGTTTTTATACATGATGACAATCATGCTTTCCTTAGATTGAGGATCTTGCCCAGTCTGATTCTTGCAATTACAATAAACCTTCCCCGGATGATATGAGTGTGGCTGATTCATCTCCTACCTCAAGTCCTCCAGCAAAGAGATGCTTCAAAGTCCAAGAGCGATGGCAGTTGTCTGCAAAGAAAGTTCTTCTCTTGTGGGCTCAAGACAAATGTGCCAGGTAAGTTCTTTGCTGGGATCCAGAGAGACACAGGACAGTTGTTTCCACTAACACAGTGACTTCCAGGCCTGAAGATCAGGCCTGACTGGGTTTAACAGCTACCCCAAGGCCTCCTACACCTAAAGAGAAAATTCTATCTCCCTTCATTTTTTAGTGAGTGTTCCAAATATGGAAGTTCATGAGCTTGGCCAGTTTTGGTTTTGAAGGCCAGAAAGTGAAATATCTGGGTAAACTTACTCCCATTGCAGTGTTTAGGTGGTCTGCTGTTGTGTGGAAATTTTCTTCTTCAGGCACTATTCTTCGGTGCATCTGCAGGATGGGTTTAATTTAAGGGATTTTACCACACTATGAGATCTTTGAAAGTTAAACCATATCTTAAGTGACTGTGTATCCCCAGGACTTAGGAAATGAGAGTTCATGCTAGGTGTTCCATTAATGTGTGTTGAATGTATCAATTAACCAATAAGCGAGGAAGTAACCAATACGTAAAGTTTTCTCTTGATACTGTCATGATTACATGAAGAAACCACYGTCTTTATTACTTAGAAGTAAAGACTTTATTAGTTATTACTCAACTCAGTTGGGAAACAAAGAAACTAGAGACAAYGTGTTTTTAAAAAGTGGGGATGATAAAGGGAAGGTAGTGGTCATAATTTATTGTTAAAGAAATGTATTTCTGCTTTTGGGAAACATTTTCTTTCTGTTTTCACCAAGGGTTATTCTAGCCATTGGAGTTTAGGAAGGATGAGGGATTAATATGTAGGAGATCTCTCCACTAGAAGAACAGCAGGGTGCCAGAGGCATTGCTCATCATGTGGTAGCATTGTCCAAGTAAGTAGAGTCGTAAAATAGGCTTCAGAGGCCTTTCAGATGGGGACTTCTGAGTAAGTTCTTCCTAATGAAAGGCTGGGAGATAGAGGTTCCTTTCTGCCTTCAGCCTCACCTTTATTTAGTTGTCATTCACTCACAAACATGCACAACTTACAGGTCTTAGATACATTAAATGAACTTTCTACGGAGAAAATTTTAGTTTTTATCTAAAACTGCATGTACAAAAAGCATTATTATATCATATTTGATTTATGAATAAATAACCTTTATATCCTTTCAAAGCCTCGTATTTTTACCACAGTGTTTCTTTTCTCCGTGTCTGTCCCTCATTACTTTTCAACTCTACAGCTGATGCTAAACTTAAGGTGCAGCACCTCTTAAGTGATTTGTCTTGATTTATTCTTTTTGGCCATCATTGGTGATATTTTTTAGGTGACTTGTATTTTGATATTCTGTAGTTTTTTGGGGACTCAGGTATAAGACTATATTGTAGTATGTTGTGTTTTCTTCTTGGTGAAAAAACATGATCTGGCTGCCTTCTCTATTTCTAAGTGAGCTTAAATCCTGCCGGTCAGAGCCTAACCATGCGCTCTCTGAAGACCTGGCAGTGACATCTTTGTGGTACTGGCTTCAGCTCATCAATGCAGAACTAACCTCAGGGCCTGGTGCTCTGTTGACACAGTGCCTGCTGCTCAGTGATGAGCTGGTTCTGGCCCTCTCAGCCCCATGGAAAGGGTCTGGGCCTGCCCTCAGCTCTGAACTACATTCCTTTAGCCATTAGTTTAACTTACTGTCTTGGAGCACAGGCTGAAGCCAGAATTCCTGGGTTTGAAGTCCTAGCTCCCAGTACTTCTAACTGGTAATCCAGGGTACCTARTCTCTCTCGCTCTCATTTTCTCCCTCCCTCCCGCTTTCCTCTCCTGCTTCCCCTTCCCGGCCCCCTTTCCCCACTCCTTTTCCATGGCTCTGATGGAACCCAGGGCCTCATGCATGCTAGGCAAGTGCTATACCTCTGAGCTACACCCCCAGCCCTACTGAGTAGCTTTTGTCTAGTGAATATCTTTATGTTTGTTTTTTTTTTTTTTATGAGAGAGTAAAGGAAATTATAGTTGTTCTGGAATAYTTCTCAAATTTTGTTGGCATCTGTACTTGTAAAAGACTTCCTCTTGTAAAATATAGAGAAATATAATATAGAAATGTGTTGAATGAGTGATTCAAAGTATATAGATACATACAGTAAGCCCCCATCATGTGCCGAGCAGAGTTTGGCAAGTGAGTCTGCCGWGGTAAACAAGAACGGCAAGGCCTTGCCTCTCAGGGACCTGCATTCTGATGAGGGAAACAGATAAAGAACTGTGATAATTAGAGTTGGCAACAAGATGAGGCAGGATTTATGCTGTGGTCAGAATTGTTTTGGTTAGAGAGAGGATGGCCAGGCAGGGCCTCTCTGGGGAGGGGCCTTGGAACTGAGACCCAGAGGGGAAGGCTTGGGTGGAAGTGTGAAAGTCTGTGAGAAAGCATTCCAGTGGGAGGAGTGTGGCTTTGACATCAGGAGGGAGGCCAGGGTGGCCACAGCACTGTAAGAGCAGGGGACATGCAGAGATGGGAGAGGTAGAGGGCCCTTGAGGGCCTGAGAGGTTATTATGCATAACATAAGATTTACCATTTTCACCATTTTTAAGTGTACAGTTCAGTGGCGTTCGTATGTGGCTGTGCAGCCTTGACCACCAGCCGCATCAGAACTTMTTTCATTTTGCACAACTGAAATTTTGCACCAGTTAAACAACAACAATCCATCCTTTCTTCCCCCTCCAGTCCCTGGYATCTACCATTCTACTTTTTTTTTCTTATTTTAATTTTTGTGAGTACTGAGGATTGAACCTAATGTACTTAACCACTGAGCCACATCCCCAGCCCCTTTTTATTTTTTATTTTGAGACAGGGCCCTGCTAAGTGTTTAGGGCCTYGCTAAGATGCTGAGACTGGCATTGAACTTGTGATCCTCTGCCTCAGCCTCCTGAGCTGCAAGGATTACAGGCATGTGCCACCCTGCCCAGCCACCATCCCCCTTTCTGTCTTTATGTACTTGTCTACTCTGGCTGCCATGTATGAGTGGAATCATACAGTATGTGTCCTTTATAGCTGGCTTAATTCATTTGGATTCATCCACGTCACAGCTCATCTCAGCATTTCCTGCCTTCCTTAGGCCAATCTTCCACTGTATAGACCACATTTTATTTGCCCATTTATTGACAATGACAGACTTTTAAACCAAGAAATGGCCAAGTCCATCTATCCTGTGGGCTACTAGCTAATGATGAGGCCCAATTTGTCACTTAATTGCTCCAGTGAGAAGAAAAATTGTTAGTCAGGTGAAGGATCGGAACTGAAGGTGAAAGTCTAGAGTCAATCTTGAGCCAGCAGCTTGTACATGAAGAGTATTGAACTTGAATGAGTATCATTATCATCTTGGGGGCTTTTAAAGATGCGAATTTCGGGCCCACTTCTAGAGTGATTCATTAGGTTGTGGAGAATGGCCTGAGAATTTGCATTTCTAGCACTACAGCAGAGGTGCAGTTTAACTTATGCTTTAATTTGACTAGAAGATAAAAGTTTTCGTAGAATGGTTTATATTGGTTATTGGGTTCACTGAAACGTTTTAATTACTATTGAATATAGTGGGAGTGTTTTGATCTATTATTTTTAACAGTGTGTATCATGTCGTTCTGCGATAGGTATGAGTCTGTCAGTGTGACAGATTTTAAGTCAAGCTGGAGAAACGGGATGGCTTTTCTGGCTGTCATTCATGCCTTGCGACCAGACCTAATTGACATGAAGAGGATGAAGCATCGATCCAACAAGGACAATCTGAAAGAGGCCTTTGGAATTGCAGAACGAGAATTAAAAATCCCCAAATTGCTGGATCCAGAAGGTAAAGAAGCTTCTTTCTTTTTAAAACATTTTTTTTAAAGGTTCAGCATAAAGTTGATTTGAAACTAATATCTCTATATAAGTAAACACAGCAACATTATATTTTAGTCCTAGAGKGTTTAGCTTAAACTCTTTATTGAATTTCATGAAATGAGGAATTCCTACCAATTAGTTAAAAACTTCAGTAATATTAGGGGTGGAGCCACAGCTGGAAGCAGACAGTGACTTTATTGGAATAATTTGAGCCTTGGTCTTAATTTCCTTCTATTGTGTTCTTCTTGATCCTGTTATTTCTGTTGTAAATCCCTCATGAGATGTTTCTTTGAGTCTTGAATTATGGTTGTTATGTATCTCCCCTTTCCATTCCCTCCTCCTATTAAAACAGAACTTCTAGGAACAGAAACTGCTGCTCTCTCTGTTGTCCTTACTAGAAAGCCCTAAATACTGCGCCAGTTATGTTTGCAGAGATCACTATCAAATCATAATTTATTTTAACGTCATTAAATCAAGACTTTAAAAGCAAGATTAAAATGATTTCTTTCTGAAAAGCACTTTACTTTGAATTCTGTTGTTTCATAAACAAAACGACATTAAAAACAAAAGTCAGCGCTGAAGGTATATAGCTCAGTGGTAGAGCTTGTGTTTAGCATGCACAAAACCCTGGTTAAGTCCTCAGCCCTAAAAGAGAAAAGAATTAAAGTAATAAAAAGAGGTATACAGAGTTAGTGAAAGTTATAATGAACCAACAGATCAAGAGATAAAAATTCTAGTCTCAGTTTTATCACCAGGGCATATATTGTAAATGTTCAGTGGCTGGCTCTCCAGAACAATGTGAAACATACACATCTAAACATGTCATAAATTTTACTGAGGTAAAAGGTATGTAGGACACAGTTTGTCAATGATAATATATGCTATGCATTATAAATTTCAAATAGCCCCAAAGTGCTAGTTGGTTTTTGTCAAGCTCTTACAATCATCTGTAGGCAACGTGGGGCTGCAGTTTGCATGTGTAGTTCTTACATGAACTACACTTTGGTTGATAATTTCCTTTATGTTAATGATTAAGTGGAATAGCAACGAGGAATGTCAACATTTCACTTGTTCTTCAGTGTGACAGGAGTTATTGCTTTGCTAAGTCAAATACTGGAAAAATATTTCTTGAATTTTTTTATACTATCACAGTGTAAGAGCTACAGATAGGACATACTTTTAGGATTTATGTATATCCTTAACAATTTCTCCATCCATTTTTTAGCATTCAATAAAAGAACAATCAAGTTCTCATTTGCTTTTTTTTTTTTTTTTGGTGCAAATACGACCGATATGGCTGAATTCAAGTTGCTGTCATGAAGTCACTGAGCATAGATTTGGGAAAAAATGTGGAGCAGCACACCATTATGTTATGTCCATCATACAAATGCAATGGACATAAATAACCCTATCCATAAATGCTGGTAAAATGCAAATATAGTAATTGGGGAATAATAAGTTTTGAGTATTTGTCACTCTTGCTTTTAATAGCATTTAATTGTATATTTACATAGTTTAATTTAAAAAAAWTTTTTTAAAAATTTTATTTGTTCTAATTAGTTATACATGATAGCAGAATGCATTTTGATTTATTGTACACATTTCTCTGGTTGTACATAATGTAGAGTTGCACCACATGTGCAGTCATACATGTAACTAGGGTAATGATGTTCATCTCATTCCACCATCTTTCCTGCCCCCCATACCTCCACCCTTTCCCTCYCTCCCCTCATAGTTTAATTTTTAATGATGACTATTTTTAAAAAACAGATTACAAAACTACTGAACATTTAATATTCAGCTCTCTTAAATTAGTGTGAGCCAGCTGGCTCCTGTATATATTCACAATATTGTTTGACCATCACCACTATCAATTGTAGAACATTCATCACCCTATAAGGAAACTCTGGGACCATTAGCAGTCACTCTCCATCTTCCAACCTCTCCATGCCAATTCTGAACATTTCACATACATGAAATCATAAAATATGTGATCTTTTGTGACTGTCTACTTTAAATTTGCATAATGTTTCCAAGATTCCCCCATGCTATAGCAAGTATTGATACTTCATCCCTCCATTTATTTATTTATTTATTTAATCTTTTATTGATTTTATTTTTTAAATACATGACAGCAGTGGAATGCATTACAATTCTTATTACACATATAGAATACAATTTTTCATATCTCTGTATATAAAGTGTTCCATTTATTTTTTAATTGGATATTTATTTATTTTGGTATAGGGATTTAACCCAGGGGCAATTTACCATGGAGCTTCATCCCCAGCCCTTTTTAAATTTTTTATTTTGAAACAGGGTCTCACTAAGTTGATTAGGGCCTTGCTAAGTTGCTGAGGCTGGTCTTTAACTTGAGATCCTCCTGTCTCAGCCCCATAAGCTACTGGGATTACAGGTGTGTGCCACCATGACTGGCTTCATTTATTTTTAAACAGGCTTCATTTTTTATAACAGTTTTAGACTTTAAAAAAGTTGAAAATATAGTACAGTAAGTTTCTACATACCCTACACCAGTTTCCTCATTGTTAAAATTTTTCATTATATGGTACATTTGTTGTAACTAAAGAACCAATAGTGATATATCATTACAATTAAAAGCCATGCTTTCTTTGAATTTCTTTAGTTTTTACTTAATGACCTTTTTCTCTTTCAGAATGCTCCCTGGGACCATATTACATTTAGTTATCTTGTCTCCTAGGCAACTCTTGACTGGACTGTTTCTTACACTATTTTTGTTTTTTATGACCTTGACAGTTTTGTAGATTGCTGGTCAGGCATTTGCAGGAGGTCTCTTTATTACAATTGGTTTCATAATTTTTCCCTCATAATCAGTGTATTCGTGGGTTCTTGGGAARAAGGCCTAGAGGCAAGATGCTGTTTTTTTTAATTTATTCTAATTAATTATATAAGACAATAGAATGCAGAATATTACTCAGCCTTAAAGAAGAATGAAATTATGGCATTTGTAAGTAAATGGATGGAGCTGGAGAAATATTATTCCAAGAGAAATAAGCTAAACCCCCAAACCAAGGTGCTATTCTTATCACATTGGTTCAAGGGTACGTGCTATCAGTGTGGCTTGTCACTGTTGATGCTGACCTCGACCACCTGACTGAGATAAAAATGCCCCTCGGGTTTGTCTGCTGTGAAGTTTCCCCCTCTCTTCATATTGTACTCTTTGCAGGGAAACCACTGCGGTAGCCCATATTTAGGTGAATGAGGCTGGCCCTCCTTGATGGAAGGTTATTAACAGGTCTTCTGCATAGGAGATTTGTCTGTTTTCCATTTATTATTATTTTTTTATTCAAGCATTTATTTATAAGACTATGTGCTTGTTGATATTTTATTTTATACTTGGCAATTGTACTCCAATACTATTTTGTTTATTTTAGAGCTTGATTCTTTTTTTTTTTTTTTAAAAAGTTTGTTTTAAGATAAAAGCATTGGCTATTGGGAGCTCTTTCAGTTGGCTCCTGTGTTCCTTGGATGTAACCCCATCTACCTGGGGTCTGCCTGTTTTTTTTTCATGAGAGTTCAATATTTATTGAGATAATATTTTATTCTTTCTTTTTTTGATCCTTGGGATTGAACCCAGAGCCTAGTGCATATTAAACATGTGCTGTACCATTGAGTTACACCCCCAGCCAAATTAGGTGACATCTCTAAATTCACAGTTAGGATAATGATTCCACATTTCTGTATATCAATTTGGGGATTGGTCTGGTTTCATGTTGTTGTTGTTGTTCTTTTTTTTTTTTTTCAATGTAGTTCTTGATTAATTCTTGTTGACTTTTATTCCTGTTTTTTGTCTTTCCTCTCTTTTTACCTTTTTAAAATTTCCTCTCCATCTTTATCTTTCTCTTTTCCTTTTTTTTACTTTTTGTTAGATATTTTTTATTTTTTTTTCTCATACTTTGTTCTAATTTCTTATTTCTGATTATTGTCCTTTAAAAAAAGCTTACATTGTGATTCTTCAAATCTTTACTCTTAGGATGAAAATTTCTCTCTCTCTCTTTCTCTTTTGGAGTTGGGGATCTTTCTGTGTTTGTTGTGCACCTGTCCTTGAACTTCTGGGATTAGTGTTCCTCCTGCCTTATCCTCTTTAATGGTTGTATTTTTTTTTTCTGTTTTAGTATGTGCAAATAATTAGGCAGTTAATAGAACAGACAATACAATAAAAATTTCCTGGGCTGGAGTTGTGGCTCAGTGGTAGAGCGCTCACCTAGCATGTTCGAGGCCCTGGGTTCGATCCTCAGCACCACATAAAAATAAATAAATAAAATGAAGGTATTGTGTCCAACTACAACTAAAAGATAAATATTAAAAAAAGAAACAAATTTCCTCTGTATGAATGATTGCCTACAATTTATTGTAGTTTAAATAGTAGCTCAAAAATGTGAGATGCATTATGACTATTTATGCAAACCAAATATCGTAGTCATATTTGATTAAGGGACCTGTCCTCTGACACAATTTTGTTCAACTATTTAATCCTCATGCATCATGGCTTCATATAAAACGAGAAGTCTAAAAAGGGATATTTAGTCAAGCCAGTATCATTATTTTATGCATCTCTTGATATTTACACCTCTTCCATTGAAAACAGAATAACTCGACTCTTAGGAATCCTTCCTATATTGAAACCTCAGCCCCCAACTTTTTATTGATAGATTTTATATGCTTACTGCCTTGTGTGATATTATTTGTTCATGAATTAAATTTACTTTCTCCTTTAGCTGACTTATAGCACTCTTTGGGCCTAGTGAACAGGCTCACTAAAACATCCTAGTGTGTTATATCTGTCATTTATTTTTCTCCTAGCCATCAACACCTTGAGGGGCAGACAGTGCCTGAGAGCATCTAGCATCTACTTGTTGAATGAACAAAGGGATGAATCATAAGGTCCCTGAGGGCAAGGAGTGTACCTGATACACCTTTGTAGCTCCTGCCTTTTAACCACCTTTGTTAGCTCTCTATGTGTTGCATTGAATTTAACTGAATTAATAAGTAGAGAAGATTTCCTTTTCAGTATGACATATTAGTTGTTTTGGCAACAAAGACACATCCCCAAATGAAGTGTTTTGTCTATGGCATATTGAATCTCTTTGTGATTTTATGATTCACTTGATTTATTATATGCCTGGAGAAGTCCTGCACTTAAACAATTTAAAACCATTTTGACTCTCTGGGAAGTCCCTGTTTTTCGAACTTATTTTGCAAGGGACTTCTTTAATACAACATGGGGGAATTTCTGCACCATGTCTCTAGAAAGGGAAATGCTTTAATTTTCTTCTCTCTACCTTCTTGAATACTTATGGCTTCACACATATAGCATCATAGAAACTTTGTAACTAGGAGACTGAGGCTGTGTACATACCCATGCCAGAATTGCACAGATGTGGCCCTAGACATAAGCCCTGTGCATAATGTTGGAGCAAGTTGAATGAGCAGAGGTTGCATGGTTACTCAGCTACTTTGGTTCAAGAGCCTGTGAACCCAATAGCATAGGCTGTGGCATAGCTTGCACTTGAGTATTCATTATAGTAAATTAAAAATTGACAGCTAATTGATAGTGTGGTGTATCTTGCAGACGTGGATGTTGTTAACCCCGATGAAAAGTCAATCATGACCTATGTGGCACAGTTTCTGCAATATTCCAAGGATGCTTCTCGGACTGGAGATATGACTCAGGTATGTCTTTATCAGTATAAATGAAGTCATTTTGTTGTATATGACTACTGGTTTAATTTTTAAAAATTGGCCTATGATTTTCATACAGAATTTAATTATATAGATCAGTGATTTTTTTTTTTTTTTGTATCAGGGATTCACCCAGGATGCTCAACCACTGAGTCACATCCCAGCTCTTTAATTTAAAGCAAAAAAAAAAAAAAATTTTTTTTTTTTTTCCATTTTGAGACAGGGTCTCGCCAAGTTGTTTAGGGCCTCTATAAATTGCTGAGGCTGACATTGAACTTTCAGTCCTCCTGCCTCAACCTCCCAGGCTGCTGGGATTACATCATGCCTGGTTTAGATCAGTTGGTTTTGACAAATGCATATACCCTTGTAAACCATTATGATGTGAAACAATGTTACCTACAACATTCCATTGTGCCTCCTGTCTTATTATTCATCCCGGACAGCCAGTATTCTAATTTCTTTCACTGTAGTTCATTTTTCTACCCTTTTTTTCCTAAGGTAAAAGTGATAACTTCTTAAGCTTTACTGAATTACCTAAAAATGAATTTTAGCCAGGTGTGGTGGCACATGCCTGTAATCCCAGCAAYTTGGGAGGCTGAGGCAGAAGTTCACAAGTTTGAGGCCAGCCTCATCAGCAATTTAGTAAGGCCTTAAGTAACTTAGTGAGACCTTGTCACAAAATAAAAACATAAAAAGGGCTGGGGATGTTGCCCAGTGTTTAAATGCCCCTGGATTTAGTCCTTGGCACCTAAATAAAGAAATTAATTGTTAATCTACAGTGCGTTTTATTTATTTCTTTATTGGGACAAATTAAATGAAGCTAGGTTTTAAACAATTTTGGAGTTATTTGAATTTTTGTGTATTATAACTTTTTTTCACTTTATTGATATATAATTCATACACCATAAAATACAATTATTTAAACTGTATGGTACTATGTGTTTTTGGAGTATTTACACGATAATGCAACCATTGTCATCATCTAGTTTTAGCACATTTCCATTTTGCCTCTGTTTTAGCTTCATGTAAATGGAACTGTGTAATTTGTATAAATGGAAGCATTGTGTTCTACCTTTGATCCTTGTTTGTTGAGATATTCTTGAAATACTAGT